AACATACAAAAATGTTCAAAATTAAGCCCTTCATAGGATTTTTTTGCCTATCTTTTGCAAACAGTCACGCGTAAGAAACTTGATTTTGCTCTGAAATATACGTTGATTTCTGATTAGCTGATTATAGAAGTCAGAAGAAATACCAAAATGAAGTGATGACTCACTCTGAGACGACAGGGAGCAAGTGTCTTTAAATTTATAATTGCCCTTGGAGCTACTTAATTTAGCTTAAAGTCACGAGGCATAATTGAGACAAACGGCTGTGCAGAGCAGGTACCAGACATGACAAGAGGCTGCCTGGGCTCCTTTTTGTTGCACTGTTTCCAGACAACACTTTTCCTAGAATGGCTATAAAATTGTATAGGCTCTCTCTCCCACCATTAGCTGTGGGCATTTCCATGTTAAATGCTTGCAACAAATGAAAAGCGTGGTTCCATGGTTTCATGGGGTGAAAGCCATGATTACGGCTATTCCGCATGGAGAACACATCTCAAAGGCAACATTTCATTTCTCCTCCTTGTGAGGCACCTATGCACGCACTGTGGAAAAGCCTGTCTACTTCACGGCTCTTCTATTTTTTTTTTTTTTTTTTTTTTTTTGCTTTTGCTTGTTTACTTTTTTTTTATTGAGAAAAGGAGAAAAAAAAAGAACAAGTTTCCACCTCCTCCCAGCCTCCCATTTCCCTCCCCCTCCTCCCACCCTTCTCCCCCTCCCCCCATTCCTCTCCCCCTCCCTCTCCAGTCCAAAGAGCAGTCCGGGTTCCCTGCCCTGTGGTAAGTCCTAGGTCCTCCCCCCTCCATCCATATCTAGGAAGGTGAACATCCAAACTGGCTAGGCTCCCACAAAGCCAGCACATTAAGTAGGATCAAAACCCCCTGCCATTGTCCTTGGCGTCTCATCAGCCCTCATTGTTCGCCATGTTCAGAGAGTCCGGTTTTATCCCATGCTTTTTCAGTCACAGTCCAGCTGGCCTTGGTGAGCTCCCAGTAGATCAGCTCCACTGTCTCAGTGGGTGGGGGCACCCCTCGTGGTCCCGACTTCTTTGCTCATGTTCTCCCTCCTTCTGTTCCTCATTGGGACCTTGGGAGCTCAGTCCAGTGCTCCAGTGTGGGTCTCTGTCTCTATCTCTATCCATCACCAGATGAAGGTTCTATGATGATATGCAAGATATTCGTCAGTATTGCTCTAGGATAGGATCATGAAATGGCTCTTCTATTTTTGAAGCAAGATAGATTCTTGCACACAGAAGCTGAAGATCTTACAATCAGCAAAGCAGAAGACACCTCGAATGTTATTTTTGTCTGGGGGAACTTGTTTACAATTAAATATAATTCTCCCTCAAGTGCATCTGACTAAGTAGTTATCTGTCTTTTCACAGGGCTTCAAGCAAACTGCTCACTGGCTACTTATGGCTATGTGTTTGTTTGTCTGTTTTTTTAATGAAAAAGAATGGGACAACACTCTCCAGGACTTGTGTCTGAAGCCATCCTCAATCACAGAAACAGCAGGATGGCAGACATTTCGGATTTCTTAGCCAATTTTCTCCTCCAAGAAAAGTCAGCAACTTACTCTAAACATGTTAGAGTTGATTGTTGCAGATTATTATTCGGGTTATTATCAGAAATATTCAGGGTCATTTGGGTCTAGTAAAACAAGGTGTGAAAAGCTGTGTTAGTGGTTTGGTAAAACTATTAAAATGTACAGCTCCTGGATCATTCTAGAATGTTTTGACTTGATTTCCCACTTCTCTGTTCATCGTTTCTCTGCCACCAATAGCTTTCGAAATCACTGTCCCCTTCACCCTCTCCAGAGTAACAAACAAGCTGAAGGATCTTCACATCCTGTAGACCAAATGTCTTCCCAAGAACTCAGTTGCTCCAAGGATGCTTCTGAACTGACAGGCTTCCTGTAGTTATGAAACCAGTGTTCCAGCTTCTGAAATTCATTCCTTTTGTGCTTTAGCTGTCTGGTGTTTGTCTTGTGCATGTTTATGTGGTTTTGCTTTTTATTTTGAGGTGCTGTCGAGGAACCTAAGCCCTCACACTTTGGTGTGGGAAGTCCATCTGTATAGGTATTGCATTTATTGGTTAATAAAGAAGCTGTTTTTGGCCAATGGCTTAGCAGAATATAGCCAGGCTGAAAGAGATATAGAGAGAAAGTAGGTGGAGTCAGTGAGCAGCCAAGTAGCCCTGCTGGAGACAGATGCCAGACCTGACGCTGGATGGAACTTTACTTGGTGAGCTACAGGCATATGGTGATACACAGATTAATGGGGATGGGTTAGTTTAGGATATAAGAGCTAGCTAAAAATATGTTTAAGCTATTGGCCAAACAGTATTGTAAATAATATAGTTTCTGTGTGTTTATTGAGGGACTAGGTGGGACAGAAACCTCCAACAATAACACTTGGTAAGCACATGCTCTACCTATAAGATAAAAGACATACTCTGAGGCCCTGAATTTTTATCTTAGTTTGACCTTTCACTGAGATGTATTTGAACTATTTCTTATATTCTCTTCTACATATTGACATCTAAGTTATCTGACCAATAGTGGGTCCTACATAAGAATCTGAATTGATTTTAAGTTGTATGTTATGTATTTTTTTTTTTATTTTCGAGACAGGGTTTCTCTGTAGTTTTTTTGGTTCCTGTCCTGGAACTAGCTCTTGTAGACCAGGCTGGCCTGGAACTCACAGAGATCCGCCTGCCTCTGCTTCCCGAGTGCTGGGATTAAAGGCATGCGCCACCACCGCCCGGCTTATGTTATGTATTATTAACAGGACATTCTTATAAATTGCTCAAGGCTCCGTTCCAAGTAGGTTTCTTACTGTATGGTTTGGATGATAATGATCCCCATAGGTTTGTATGTTTGAATATTTGGTGCCCAATTGGTGGAACTCTTTGGGAGGGACTGTGTGACCTTGTTGGAGGAGGCCTGTCATGGAGACAAGCTCTGAAGCTTCAAAAGGCCCCTGTGCACTCTATGCCTCCTGCTTGTGGTTTAAGTTGTGAACTCTCAGCTGCTCAACTTATACCTTACAGTATAAGATGGCTTAAAACAGTGTTTTATCCCAGCATGGAAAAATACCTAATACAGAAACTAGTACCAGGAGTGGGGTGTGAAAAAGAAATACCAAATGTATAGTTTAGAGATGAGAAGAACACTGGTGAACTTACTGCCACAGCTAAGGCTTATTAAAGGTTGAGAGATTGGTTCTGTTAATGAGATTCAAATCTGTATTGGAATAAATGGAAAGATACCCTCGCAACACTGGACCCTGATAAGCTTCCAAATTGTAAAGACTATGGTTTAAGGAATTCTCTGCTTCTGAAAAGGAGCAACAAACCAAAGCTCCTGCCAATGTGATTCAAAGAGGCCAGGCTCCATCCCAGAAGGCAGTCAAACTTGCCAATCTCATCCTTATAGTGCTGGATTTAAAGTCATGGCAGATAAGTAAGTACCTAGATTGTGAAATCCTCCTCCAAGGTTACAGAGGGTCACTAAAGCCAGGAAATGTGTGTGGCAGGGATCTCCTTTCATGGAGGCCTTTCCTTGCATGAAGTTGTGAAAGTTGTATCTGTATGGAGCTGGAGACCCCATGATATTGGAGATGCCAGGACTGTGAGACATTTGCCAAGGGGAGCTGCAGACAAGGAGTGGAACCATCCTAAGAGAGAAGCAGGCTGCAGGCAACGAAGCTGGAAGGCAGAGGGCCAAGCCCTAAGACATTAGAAACGGAGCTACATATAGGACATGGAGTGTGCTCTGCTGGGTGTTGATCTCGCTGGACCAGTATTGGTCCACTGTCCCCCACCCCAAATCTTCCCTCTTGGAATGGTAATATATATTCTGTGCCATTGTATGTTGGAAGTTTGTAATTTCTTTGTTTTTATAGGGAGGGGCAGTTAAGAGACTACCTTGAGTCTCAGAAGAGATTTTTAGATTTTTGGACTTCTGAACTGTGTTGAGACTAAAAGACTATGAGGACTTTTAAAGTTGGGTTAAATGAATTATAATATGACCATGAGATTATGGGGGCCACAGAGTGGAATGGGGTTTATATGGGAAATGGCCCCATAGGTTTATCTGTTTGAATACTTGGTCTCCAGTTGATGGAACTGTTTGGGAAGGATTAAGAACTCTTTTTTTGTGTGTGTGTAGGAGAAGGTGTGTCACTGGGGAGCAGGCACTGAGGTTTCAAAAGGCTCATGCCACTGTCTGCCTCTTGCGTGTGGTTTGAGATGTGAGCTCTCAACTCTTTCTGCCACCGTTCCTTTGTTTCGCCCTCATTTAACTATCGGAACAGTTAGCCCCAATTTCACATTTTTCTTTTCTATGTTGCCTTGGCCATGGTGTTTTATCACCATAATAGAAAAGTAACGAAGACACTGACTTAAAAGTCATTTTTCTATCTCTTCCTTCAATACTACTTCTTGTTCTCCTCCTCTCCCATTCCATCGAATCTCTGTACTCCCTCCCAAAAGAAGCAGGATCAGGGGGATTGTAAGGCGGGGAAACTCATTCGAAGAATAAATTAATTCAGCGGTTCTCCATTTGCTCACTCAGACACTTGTTCTATCTTTTATAGCAAGGACCACTAGGAGTTTGCGGCAAATCACTAGTTTTACCCAGAGTTACCCAGACACTGAGAAAATAAACCACTCCTCCCAGATAGGACCCATTTTCGAGCCATGAGGTGACATAATAGATGTCCTGATGGGGGCAAATTTATGTTTATTGATAAGCATTGGCTTTTCAAACATTAATATTCATTCTGTGCCAACACATAAACACAAATGTACGTTACAGAGGACTTGTCAGAAGTCTAAAATGAAAGCGCAATGGATTGTGACTGCTACACACCTCATTGTACCAAGCTGTAGCAAATCCCTTTGTTTCTCTATAACCCAGCTTCCGGATCTTCGGATTCAGAGATGATACTTACACCCCTGTGGTATTTGGTAATTTCAGCCTAAAGAAATGAGTCAAATGCCTCAAATGATTAATTCCCTTTATTCCAACAATACACATTCAACATTCCGAAGATGTTTTACCCTTGTGTTTAAGCTTTCCAAATAGTCTCGAAGTGTTTCCTTCAGGAAAACACGTCAGGAAGCTTGCCGCAAATCAGTTTCAACAAGGTCAGTGCAACCTATACATCCTGTTCATAAGAAGCTTTCTTTTCTTGCATGGGATGAACACTAGGTCCAGAATCTTTTCAACTACTGTGTTTCATAACAACACTGGAGTCGAATACTAAATCTTTTGTGACTGTGATGAGAAGCTTGGACCAACTCTAGTTTGTCTCAAATAACACTGCTACTATGGAAATTAGACACTAAGTCCCCGGCTATTTTCATTTTACTTAATGAACATAGAGGGAAAGTCCCGGGGTCAAGGAAAAGAAAAAAAATTAACAACTAGAACTGTGAGGAATGTCTGTTGCAAATTTTAAAGACACAGTTTGTTTACATTGAAGTTTACCTGCTAATCAGAAGTGTCAAATCTATTTGAGACATATAACTACATCACAGTCTTTCAAATGACGGATGGTTATCTGCATGGGTTCCTTAGAGTATGTTTGTATATTAACAACGTAAATTGCTCCGAGGCAAAGACATACAGAATTGCATGCTGACTAGTTAACCATGACACAGAAAGTTATTGATGTCAGATAACATCGATTGAGTTGTGGCTAAGCCCCCAAAAGCTCATGCTGACAACAATGCTGGTTCTGGGCATCAAATCCCCAGATACTGGTTCATTTTATTCAGGGCATCGCACACCGTGTTCAAATCACTGCGTAGGTCCTGCACCACATTTTCGATACTTCTGGTGTCTTTCAGAATTTCAATGCTCTGTGTGTAGGGGTTGAAGTATACTGAGAAGGGACGGGCAATTGACTTTGCGAAGTCCCTGGAGAATCAACGAAAACAGAAAGAGACACAGTCAACCACCAGGAGGAAAAGAAACAGAAAGGAAGAACGGCCAGAGAAATTTCAAAGTTATTTTTCTGTAGAAGAAACAAAAGCAAGTTTACCTCATCTTTTCTTTGGCTTCTTCAAAACTTTCTGATACAAAATAGGCTTCCTGGAAGGTGGTGATCAGGCATTCCTGCAAGCAGGTTGTCTTTGGGTCAAAGGCTTTTATGCACGCCTTGTCAGAAAGAGCATGCTGCAAAAACATACCAAAGAATTCATCAAGTCCACAGTGAGGCTTCCAAAATGCTATGGCATCACACATACTAGCCAGTAATCCGCAGACCTGCTCAGTTCCTAGTCTACCATGGAAGCAAAGAACCCTCTCTGTGCAGGGTAAATCGGTTGTTAGGAAAGGGTTTTATTTTGGCTTTTTTAAGTCTCCTGGAAGTTGCAGAAGAAAATGAGCTCATGTTATTATTTTAGATAATATCAGGCAAATTCATGCTGAAGGACAGTTCAGAGCTATCCCCTGACACAAATGGAATTTTAAATGTACACCATGAATAGAAGCAGGTACGGGGGAAAAGAAAATATATGCTCCTAAATTTGCTGCTATAAGCAATGTACTAAAATTTCACTTAAATGGCAGAAGTAATAATTACCTGCGTGGAGAGGTAATTGAGACTCTCACCTAACTATTTATGGACTCGCTGGGAGACGTTTTGAGGCCAGGTACTGTGTGTCAACAGAGATTGGAGTGGGCTCATGCATTGGAGTGTGCTTGCAAAGTAATCATTTACCTTCCATAAAGTACAGCAGAGTAATATACGGCAAATAAATATTGCCAGTTGGGGGGGCAAAGAACCAATATTAATAGTTATACTTAAGCCCAAAGCAGGCATTAGAAAAACAGGAAAGCCAGTATAATTACTCGTTGGGACATCATTGGCTCCAATCACATGCCTGGCACGAAGAACAGCGAGGAATTCTGAATGGCTGGGTCTTCGAGATAAACTCAATGATGTTAAAGGTTAGCGGTCACCTCTTACCACACCCCACCTGCCTACTTCTAGACTCTTAATGGATGGTTCTGAAACAGGGTGCAGAAGAACCATTCACAGGTTGAAAACCACTGTTCTCAAAGAACCATTTTTTGGCTTCTCCCATCATGCTAAAGACAAGGGTATACAACTAGAATCAGAACTCCTGGCTTCTCAATACAGCTGTCTCAAAATCTAGACATATCGAGCCTGCATAGGCACAGAATTAAATATGAAAAAAACTAGGAAAATTGCAGGTGGGCCCCCGAAGCTGTGTTTTTTAAGGGCCCAAATGCCCCTTTGTGATTAAGAATCTTGGGAGCTACAGTTAGGCTTTTCTGGCTATCTCAAAATTAAAGCACCCAGAAAACCTGCCCAGTTGTCATGCTAACAAAGAGAGATGCTGACTTCTACATAATGTCATTTGTATCACAGTTTTGAAACCCCCACCAACTTATAGTCTTCTCAAGATCATGGAAAGAAAACACCTTAGAAGAGATAAATATTCATCAAAGTTTTTTAAGCAATTCCTAACTGTCCATTCGGTTTCTCCCTTTGAGATCTCCTGTTCCAATCTTCCTTTGGAGTATTGACACTGAGCTTTGCTAAATGAGCCTCTGCTTGGCCTGGCTGTTTCTCACCTGAACCTGAATTCTTTCCTTCAAGATGACAAGAAATGAAGAGGAAACTTCAACCAGTAACAGTGTCATTTCAAATGAAGAACTACCTCAGGATGAGCTGCAGTTAACTCAGCGACAAATCTAAAAGTCTAAGAATCTAAGCATCTTCTTGCAGTATTGCTTTATCAAGGCCTGTAAACACATAGCACCCTCCACTTTTCCAGTGTCAATCAAAGCAACCTTTCCTCCTAGACCTGAAGATAGCCTTGTTACCCTTCACATAGGTGCCAAGCACCAATCAGTTGGCTCTAGTAAGGAAATTAAGACTCATTTTCCATTCTAGTTTTTATAAATATCCTTTTGACATCAAAAATTCCCAGGTAGTGGCCGTGGTGCTCTGAAAACCAAATGGCCCTCAAAGGGAGTGGCACTGATGAGAGGTATGACTTTGTTGAAGTAGGGGTGACCTTGTTGGAGGAAGTGCCCCTGTGGGGGAGTGGGCTTTGAGTCTCATATATGTTGAAGATACCTCCCAGTGAGACAGGCCATTCCTCTAGCACCATGTTGGTCTGCATGCCATCATGTCCCACCTTGATAATGGAATGAACTAAACTGTAAGTGAGCCACCCCAATTAAACATTTCCTCTTGTAAGACTCGCTGTAATCATGGTGCCTTTTCATAGCAATAGAAACTCTAAGACACCACTAGATAATAATGCAAGATAATTCAGAGAATATGTCTTAACTATGGAGTTTAAATTTGCTTCCTTCCCTTCCCACGACGTTTGAAGGAACTCATGAACTCTATAACCCAAGGTTGTGGTCAGAATTAAATGGGAAATGTATACAAATGGGTAGCATTGGGAGGTGTTCAACATACATAGTTACCATTCCTAAATCAATCCAGATAGGATTACTATTTATTCACTCGTCCTGCCCAATAACCATTTCCTCCCTCTCCCCCAGGGGTCTAAAACCTGTAGCAAAAAATGGCCCCAGATATGAGACTTGTTAAGACCCAACCTGCTATTTTGTCTGTTCTAGCTCATCAGCCTGGCATCTTCCTTCCTCTCAAACACCCCTTTATGCAATGACACAGAGGTATTATCTCAGCTACTCTAGATGGAAACCCTGTGATCCTCACTCTCTATATTAGGACTGGTTAAAGTTTGAAAAGAAAAAAAAATTGCAAGTGTGAAGTCAGATTCATGGGTCGTTTGGGTCCTAGATTCCAGATAAGGTTTTGCAAAGACTCCTATGTGCACAGCACAGTGCAAACACGCCTATGTTCACTCCACAGTCGTCTGTTCCCACAACAAACAGGTGGATCTGATTACTTATATGTGCAGTATGCATGCATGCAAGGAATAGTCTTTCAGCCTCATTTACATACTCACCAAAGCCTCCAGCAACTGAGGGGCCAACATCAGGTCAACAATTGCAGCAGCAGAAAGAATTTCAGTACAGTAGATAACTTCCTTGGCAACTACAAGGATGCTCACACGGGGATTAGGATAATGCCATTCATTAAAGCCTTCCCTACCGGGGATCAATAGCCCTATTGCCAAGTTCAGCAATGGTTCATCACACTTCATTTTTCTCAGCGTTGCTGGGCTTTCTCGTTTTGAATCAGCTGCAGGGGCAAGGGAGCAGCCTCCCTCTTTAGCAGACGCAGCTGAGGGATTTGCAGCCCTCAGTCCTCCAGCGTCTCTGCCACTACTAACAGTGCCCCCACTTCAAGAAAGGAAGGGAACCGGAAGGGAGGCTTGAGCTGCCCAGTACCGGTGGGGAGCTCAGCTGCTGAGTTCTTTCTCTGGCAGCAACACTGACCTTTCAGGTAAGCTCAGAAAACTTGCAAAGCCCTCGAGGCTCTCCTCCCTAGCCTGGCAGTAATTCTGACCACCTCCCCGCAACAGCTGGATGTGGCAGTAAATACCAATGATCATAATAAATAGAAAGCTGTTTGGAGAATGCTGATTAATAGCTGCATAAGGGTAAAATCAATAATTCACCATGCAAGGACATCCTAAAACTAAAGCTCAAAATGCGCAATCAAATTTTCTTACCCCTGAAACACAAAAGAGACATATTTATATGCAATAGTCCAGCAATTACTGCAGCGTGGATGCTGAGGCCACCTAATTTTTGCCCTGGAGGGAATAAAGAACGAGAACTCACCCTTATCCCTGAAAAGAGCCTTCTGCTTTTGAAGTAGATGAATTTTTTTTTAAAGGCAAGACTCACATTTCACTGTTAGCAGGCATTTCCTCCCACCCCTCATCACTTAAACATGCAGTGTGCCTCCATTGGTTCATGGGTTTCAACATTTGATTTCTAGCGGCGGCGGCACTGTTTGGAGAGTCATGGAGCTTTCCGGAAGTGGAGTCTGGTTGGAGGAAGTGGATCACTGGATAGTAGGGTTTAGAGTTTGTAGCCCAGCTCTGATTCTTGCTTCTAGGTTGGGGTCAAGGGCGGGGGGGATGAGGGGGAGGGGATGAGCAAGGTTCATCACTATCTCCCACCACCATAGTCATCAGCCATTCCTACCAGCATGCCTTCGCTGATGATGTTCCGTTTCCCCTTGAACCTTTCATTGACCCCAACGAAACCTTCCCTTCCTTGAGTTGCTCTAGCCAGGCAATGAGGAAAAATGACTAATACTCCTCCCAAAGTGAACAGATTTTGCTGTTGGACTCCAACATAATAACCCCTGCCTTAGGAAGTCCCTCCAAGACTCTGTCTCACAGCTTGGGCCATCAATTTGGGGCTTATCATAGAAAATGAATAAGGCAAGGGCGTGGTAAATGAACAAATAACAGATTATACCGTTAGGTCAACTGTAGGGCAGAGAGACAAGGTGCGACATGAAAGACACATGCTAGACGGTGGGTAAAAGGGAACCAGTCATCCTCTTTTCAAAGCTGCTCTTCCAAAGCTGACCTTCCAGGTGACCCAGTTCATGGTTAACCATTCTCTGCAATGATGAGAAATGGAGAAAAGCCCCACCTTCTCAGGCTTTTGGAGCTCCAACCAGTATGCCAACCATCATGGTGCGGGTAGTTTTCAATCAAATTTATGCTAACTTTTATAAGATTTTCCACGTTTGCTTTATTTCTGTCTCTGAATGTAAAATCAAGTGCTTTTCTTATGAAGGAGAAAAAAAAACTGAAAGTCGTCCTCCTTTAAACGGCAGACACCACTCTTGGAAACACTTGGCCAGCTCTGAAGAGCAACATCGGTGCCCTCAGGAAAACTACAGCAGGCATCTTAGAAGTTTTATGTTTCAAGACAGAAGGTGGATTGTGTGTACTTATATAAAAGTTATGAAGACTATACCAAAGCCTCCAGAAACTTAGGGACCAGTTGAAGCAGTAGAAAATACTTTACTGCAATAGATCAATTCATGGAAAACTGTAAGGATATTTACAAAAGGATTACGATAATGCTATTAATAAGGTTATGGCTATATTGGGTCTCAAATCATAGTATCTTTCCTCAAATACAAAAGTAAGATGCTCAGGGAGCTAGAGAGACAAATCGGTGGCTCAGAGTGCTTGCTGCTCCTCCAGAGGGTAGCAGAAGAGCCCACAATCACCTGAGGGGTCCAATACCCTCTTCTGGCTTCTGTGAACACCTGTGCTCATGGGCACACACATCCACACACATACAAACACACACAAATATAATTAAGTATTTAAATGAGCTGGTAAACATTCTGGGCTCTTACAGGAATGAGACAGGCAGGAAGAGAGGGGCTGCTAAGGAAGACGCCTCTGCTCTGTATTCTCTGAACAGTTAGAAGGTATTTCTTGCGAAAAGAACATCTAAATTGTAAAAATGCTCCAGCACGACAATCATGGGGATGCTGGCCTGCTGAAATCTGAGAATGGAAGGATGCTAATGACCGGAGGTGATGGACCTGAACAGGATGGTGCACGGCAGACAATGCCCTTTGAGGTACATATTTCTCGCTGATTTCCATTTCTAGATGATTCTGTCTACAACACTGAAAACAAAAACAGTGGATTCACCCCAATGCTGCCTTACGCATGCCTCATTAACCAGACCAGGAGACCCTGTCAAAAGTTGGGGGGCATGAAAGAGATTTGTTTCTTTTGTTTCTTGAATAATTTATATACCATCTGAAGAGAATGTAAATAGATGTGGCTCAGGGAGTTTTGTTTTCTGACTTTCTCGGGAGAAACAAGAAGTAGTCTTAGAGGACATGGTCTTGTAGGGTATGATGTCCTGTTTTTGCTGTGAGCTTAGTGAATGTACTATTACTGATGTTTTTTGGAAAGAACAAAATGGCTCGGCAGATAAAGGGGCTTCCTATGTGTCCCTGCCAGCCTGAGTTTAATCCTCAAAACCACATGGTAGAAGGAAAGAACCAACTCCACAAAGTTGTTTTCTGACTGCACATGTACTGTGAATTCACACACATACACGCGCACACATGCACACACGTGTGCAAATGTGTATGCGCACAAGAGCTTTGACCAGGTGTTATGCAGTTCCTTGGTCCATTGCACATCTGTGCATCTCCTGCTTTCCTAATCCACCTCCCGATTCCTCAAGACTCAGTATGAGCAACACAGGATCCTCCTTCGGAAAGCCTTCTCAAGCCTGGCCTCTCGTGTGCCAGACACAACTGTCAACACTTTTTCTATCTGCTGGGTTGTTTATCCGGCAGTGGGTGTCAAGTCCTGGGTAAGAAAAGCCTCGGGCTGTGGAATCTAGAGCAGCGATTCCCACAGTCTACACTGCCTGCTCTTGGGCCTGGCTCTAGCACGTTAGTTGTGCGGTTTAGGCAAGTGCTGTAATGGCTTTCTGTCCTCAGCTGTCTCATCTCTAACAATACGATCCAGTTCTGACAGAGACTGAGTTAGTGTGCAACAAAATCCTAGACTCCACTTAAGATAACTTCTGGTGTTATTTTCTTTGGATTTATGTTCTTCATCGGTTTCTATCTTTTGATTCCCAGTGTCTGGCACAGTGCGTGCTACCTGTAAGCATCCAGTGAAGGAAGGGTTTTAGGAATGAATAAATTATCTAACTAATAAAGTTATAAAACTAGCAGACTCAATAAAAAGTACAGTGAGAATACATCTCAAAAAATGCATCTTTTGAGAATACAAATTAGCCAAACATTCCGGAAACAATGCATTTCCCAACTGTATCATACAACAACGATCAATGCTGAAGAGAACGCCCTAAGCTAGTCTATAATCCTGATCTTAAGACAGAATAATCAAAGAAAGATTAAGTTATTTTCAGTATAATTTCTAGGTTGCATGTCATATTGCCTCCTAAATGCATCCAAACTTACTAAAATGCTAGAAGTATCGGAATGCTCCAGAGCCTGCCATTTCCAAATAAATGATCATTTACTGTTAAAGGAAAAAAATAATTTCTAAGCATAATAAATATATATTATGTGCTTCTTTGATACTATGCTGATTCAGCTTGTTTTCCAGTAAACTGTTGATACGCACAGTATTTTAATTGCATTAATTTTAGAGAAGATGGAATGTCCTCAGACTCCTCTTTGAGAGATAGAAGGCAAGTCCATGGCGCCATGAAGGTCATGGACATCAGAGTAGACTAGTCAGACTCCCTGATTGACGCGAGTGTCAATCAGAAGTACCCCTGCTAGCTCACTGCCCACTTCTCAGCACTCAGGCTAGGCCAGCCATTTGTTCCCCAGCATTAGAGCTTATGTTAGTCATCCCTGTTGATCTGGGCACACGGCCGCTCATCCATTTGAGTCACACCACAAGCCCAGAAGGGCTTGACCCATTTTCTGAGGTGCAAAAAGTCAGGTCAGCACCCACATCCACGGTGCCAGATCCTCTGTGTTAAATATGTATGGGGAGTTGCGAGTGGAAACGTTCAACAAACAAATCAATAGCTTCCATGACCTTGAACCAGTTTGCTTGGGAAGGATATTTTCATTCACAGCTACGTACCTTCAATTCTCCAATGGAGGAAAGTAGCCCTGCTCCATATGCCCGCAGTTGACCTTCTTGCTTGCAAAGACCAAACTCGATTGTGAAGAAATAACACTAGAAAAAAAAAAAAAAAGATGGACCCATGTTCAGTGAACTGGCCAACAAGTTCCTTCACAGAATAAAATGGCACCCAAAATAAAATGTTGCACTGTACATAATTGCCTTGAATTTTAAAATAAATTTAAATCAGGAGTATTTATTGTAATCCATTTTCTTGATGAATAACCTTGCGCTAAGTTTATATACTTCAATATAATTTTATTTAATTTCAACATGATTTTTTGCACATTTTTATGATTACTGTTTTAATAATCTTACCCTAAGTTGAAAGACTATAGGGAAATTAAACCACGAGGAATCCAGTGATTCCTGTGTACAGAAACTTTATGGATCAAATCATATCTCCTGTAACAATTTTAAAATTATTAATAAATGAGCACATCTTAGCGATGTTCCACAAGAATATGGGACTTGCGCTACCAAATTGTGTTTTAGTGGCATAAATGAGTTCAAGAAGACATGGAAAAATAAGTTGGAATCTAGTCATTGCAAACTTATTTTTTAATCTGTTTATTCATTCTGAAGACATTTATTAAGGTGAGGCGGTGACTCAGAGGATAAAGAGCTTCCTGAACAAACACAATGGCCTGACTTTGTGTCGCCAGCCTTCATATGAAAGCTGGGCAAGACAGCACACGCCTGTAATCCCGGCACTAGGGGAAGACAGTCAGACCCCAGGATCTCACTGGTCAACCAATCTAGGAAAAGGGTGAGCTTCAGATTCAATGAGAGACCCTATCTCAAGAACTAAGATGGACAAGAACACAGGAAAATGTCCAACATCAACTTCTTGCCTTCACACATGAGTAACCACACCCAGGCACATACAAAACACACCAAAGCAATAAAGCACAAACAAATCTTTTTTAAATAGCATTTTCTGAAAACCCACTAGGTGCCAATGCTTGGTAAAAGAATAAAAAAGAGACCAAGAATAAAAATACATACTTACCAATCTATCAAAACTACAGTGTCAACATGTTTTTAGTAACGTCTTAAATGCATACCAATATGTGCATATGTATACACGTGTGTATGCACTGTTTGTCCAAAAAAAAAAAAGGGCACAGATGGGTGGGTTTAGAGGGAGAATCTGGGGGGGGGGCGGTGCTGAAGGGATGAACGTGATTAGAACACCTTGTACAAAACTCTCAAGAAAGTAATAATAAAATCTGCAGTTGCTTCTGTTGGGTTCAAAAAACCAACCTAGACAGAAGAAAAAAAAATATCTGCACAACTTAAAAAAAAAAATCACAGTGCTATTGCAAGGGGCTGAAATCACAATATTTCTGCTCTAATAGAAAAGCGAGAAGCTAGCAACACGTAATAAGAATTGAATCAAATTAGCACTGTCCTGCGTCCGTGGTGCTAGGGCACTGAAGGTGTTGAGAAGGAGAATTTAAACACTCCCGAAACAGGGCAGAAAATAATTATAATGTCTAGCCCACGACAGCTTGCTTTATTTTTATACAAGGGTGAAGATGTCCTTTGCTTCTGGAGGTTTTGTTTGCTTTCTAATGCAGGGATGACCCTGAGGTTGTGTGATCCCATGCTCTGCATACCTGAGCTGCACCCAAAGGACTGGCCACTTCCAAGCCATGGAGCTTCACCTCCAGAAGTAGAGCCTCTTCCCAGACTCAGTTGCCAAAGAGGGCAAAACTATGGTCCATGCCACCAACAGCACATCTGCAATGCCTATCAATACACCTCCTTATGCTGTCCTGATGTAGGAGGGTCGTCTGTCTATGTGTTACTTTCATTGGTTAACAAATAGACTGACTTGGCCTTTTAACAGGGCAGAAAATTAGGTGGGTGGAGTAGACAGAACAGTATGCTGGGAAGAAGGGAAGTGAGTAAGTCTCCATGATTCTCCGACCCGAGACGGACGTGGGCTAGAATTTTTCCTGGTAAGCCACCACCTCGTGGTGCTACACAGATGATTAGAAATGGGTTAAACAAGATGTGAGAATTAGCCAAGAAGAGGCTAGATATAATGGGCAAGGCAGTGTTTAAAAGAATACAGTTTCCGTGTTATTATTTCTGGGGCTAAGCTAGCCATGCGGGAGCCCGGCAGGATGAAAAGCAGGCCTGCTGGCCTCATCACTACACTGTCCTACATTTAATTTGTTTTACAGTCTTCTGCTTTTTGACACCATCTGGGATACTTTGGTGCATGATCTCCACATTGAAGTATGAACTCTATACAGCAGGTATTACTCCCCATTCCTTAGAAGCAATGGAAATTCCAGCATCGTTGACACTTTATACCCTTCTTTGTTTGAGGAGGTTATCCTATGTGTTTTAGGATGCTTAGCACCATTCTAGGTACCAATAAAATCCCCAACCCTCAAACTTTTTAGCAGTTCCACAAAGTGGCTGTTCTGCTTGGTTTGGTCAGCTTGACCCAAACCTTAAACCTGTTTCAGAAGATGGACTTTTAATTGAGAAAAATGCCTCCATAAGATTGGCCTGTAGGCGAGTCTGAGGGGACATTTCTTGATTGATGATTGACTGTGGGTGTGTGTCACTCCTAGGCCCTGCTAGAAGAAAGCCGACTGAGCAAACCAGTTAAACCGCACCCCTCCATGGCCTCTGCATCAGCTCCTGCTTCCAAGTTCCTGCCTCAAGCACCTTACCTGCCTTCCTGAGAAAATAACTACAAACTGCGAGATTAAATAAACCCATTTCTCCCCGAGTTGCTTCTGATCATGGTGTTTTATTGCAGCAATCAAACCTCTGACTAAGTGAGTGGCTTTTCTATTAAACCTTTTTCATAAAGAATTTTCAAATAAAAAACATCACACACTTAAGTTAACCAGATCAAAGCCTGTCATCCCAAGGGACTTGTTTGTATATGGTCACAATAGGTATGGAGCTTTACACCGGAATTGCTCTATCACTGGAGGGTATGTTTTTTAAAAAGATTTATTTACTCATGCATGTTATGTGTATAAGTGTTCTGTCTTCATGCACAACAAATAGGGATTTGGATCCCACTACAGATGGTTGTGAGCCACTGTGCAGTTGCTGGAAATTGAACTCAGGACCTCCGGAAGAGTATTCAAGCACTCTTAACTGCTGAACCATCTCCCGGCCTCTGCTATTGACTGTATTTTTATCCCCAGTTCACCATTTTAAAAGCTATATCTGAACATGTTGTCTTCCAGCCAAAAAAAAATCACAGAATGACATCCTGATGCCCTTGGAAATATAAATGAGACTGTCTTCGGGGCCTTTGTACTTGCTATTCCCCTGGTGTGTACACTCTTCTCCCTAGGTATTTATATAGTAGCTCTTTTCATTTCTCAGTCAAAAGTTGGCTTGTTAAAAGGACTGCAAATTAAATGTCAGTCTAGTCATAGAGGATCTCCCTGACCACGAAAGGAGCCTTGCTTTCTGCTTAGCCTGTCTGACATGTTACATGAAGAACATCCTGTCCCTGACATGATCCTATCCATTGGCTTTTGCGGCTGTTGTTACCTGTGTCGCTCAGTAGCATGCGTGGTGCTCAGATCGGGAGCTTGCTTCCTTCTGCAAACTCTTAGCATTTAGACCAGAGTCTAGCATTAAATCATTGCTAGAGATATCTGCAGAGCAGGTGAATGGGTCCACAGGAGGGAAGAGGTCACGTAGCTAAGAGGTGAATTCTAGGCTGCAACTCGAGTTCCTTAGTGGCTCTGTGTTTCATGGAAGACACACAAATCTAACTTATTCATTTGTTCATCTTCTAGCTGTATATCCACCAATACTCAGCAAGTTCTTACAGTGCTGCAGGAGTTATTATCAATCAACCAGGGATGGCATTGCATCCCTAGAACATTTTGCTTGTTAAAACTTAGCTCTGTCCTCAGCACCATGGTGGGGGGTGGGATACACAGGGTGGGATGTGAGGACTTTAAAAGAAGTCGCTCTCACTGAGGTCTCCTGAAAACAAAAAACGTGAGAGTTGTCAGCGTGCTAACACGTAATAAAACCCTCAAGTCTGTCAACCAAACAACTGTGCACAATCCTAAATATGTGAAGCCATGCGCTCATATATGCACAGAGAAGCCCAGCAGACACGTGGTAGCCCAGCCCTTCTATGTCACAAAGTGGAAAACTTAAGCCGATGAGAGATTTATCCAGGACTCGCCTAAACAGTGACATCCACAAGATCTAGAGCCCCATGTTTTACAGAGCTCGACATCAGCATCTGCCGTCATTTAAGGCTTCTAAATAAAAAAAATCAGTAGGTGTGTGATTCTCCTGTACAACCAAATGATGGGGAGAGTAGGGTACAGAGCAAGGGGCCTGCAAGCTCATGGCATCTTCTCTGAGCGCCTTTGGTCCTTTGCCTCCCTGACTCACCTTGCACTTTTATCTTACGACATAACATCCCTGGAACCCTAATGTTGAATACAGAAACTTTCGTGGGGAAGTGTGCTGTCCTATTCAAAGGCATCCAGAACACACATATGGAGCCAGCGGCGGGAGCATTTAGGTCGGCTATTAAGTGCGTTTTTAATTTCCCTCACATTACATCACTTGCATACCTAATGCATGGCCACCCTTCTCTTCCAAAGCCAAACAGGCCAGAGAGCCTCGGAGAAAAAGCCACTCTACCTACCAGTCACAGCTGCTTCCCCCGGACTTGGCCTTCTGTCTGATTTTACAGCAAGAATTGAAAGGCCTGCTTTGGTTTGACTAAAGATTCAAAAGTTAAGTAACGGGTTAGCCAGTGTTGTCTTTAGCTAATATGTTCCTAGACGCAGAACAGCCTCTAAGAGAAGAGCCTGTGCATCTTCCTGCCCATGGCTCTCATGCTATCTGACCCCTTACCTCATCTGGGAGTCCCTCCAAAAGCCCCGCCCTTACACAGCTCCATCTGGTCCTTCTCTGCCTACCTCTCCCTTTTGACTTCCCTGCCTCCATCAGCAGAGAAAGCCCCTGGATGCAGCTTCTGCAGCCTGCTTTCCTCGGAGAACCAGACCTTTTGCTCTTGAGACCGTTTTTCC